CACCATACAAAATTATTACAATATTATTGACTATATTCCCTATGCTTTATTTTCATCTCCATGCTTTATTTATTTTATAACTTGAAGTTCAGACCTCTTAATCCCCTTCACCTATTTTGCCCATCCTGTGCCATCCCCCTCCCTTGTAGCAATCATCAGTTTGTCCTCAGTATGTATGTATGTATTTGAAGTTCATTTATTTATTTAAAGAGAGAGAGAACACAAGAGGAGAAAGGCAGAAAGAGAGAGAGAGAGAGAGAGAGAGAGAGAGAGAGAGACCCAAGCAGGATGCGGGGCTCAATCCTACAAACCGAGAGATCATGACTTGAGCCAAAATCAAGAGTCGGATGCTTAACTGAATCACCCAGGTGCTCCTGTTCTCAGTATTTACGAATGTGTTTCTGTTTTGTTTTATTTGTTTATTTTGTTTTTTAGATTTCCACATATAAGCAGCACAGGGCTTTTAAATCCTTATGATGAGATTAAAGATAGGTAAGCATAAAATAAACCACCCCAATTTTACACTATTATCTCCAAGGTTTTAAAAACATTGCTTCTAAAAGTTACAGAGAGGAAAGGAGGCAAACCGTAAGAGACTCTTAAATACTGAGAACAAACTGAGTGTTGATGGGAGGCGGGCAAGAGGGGAAAGTGGGTGATGGGCATTAAGGAGGGCACCTGTTGGGATGAGCACTGGGTGTTGTATGCAAACCAATTTGACAATAAATTATATTTAATATGAAAACAAACAAACAACAACAACAACAAAAAAACACTGCCTCTGGGGCACCTGGGTGGCTCAGTTGGTTAAGCATCTAACTTTGGTTCAGGTCATGATCTTACAGTTCGTGGTTCAAGCCTCACAGTGGGCTCTGTGCTGACAGCTCAGAGCCTGGAGCCTGCTTCAGATTCTGTGTCTCCCTCTGTCTCTGCCCCTCTATCATTCTATGGAGGCAACAAAGCCTAAGTCAAGTTCTCCAAATGGCACCAAAAAAGAATGCATAGATATGGGCACTGTACTTTTAAGAAATCCAACTGTGGAAGAAGTTAGAAAAAAAGGAAGGAAGGTAGGAGTCTGTGGATTTCATGAGTTGGGGAAAGGAGTATATATAAAATCAATTCACAGAATGTAATAAACATAGTAGAGCACTAGATATTTTGGGAAAACCACAGTAACCTTAAGTACTTGATTTATTTAAATATTTCCTTATTTCAAGGTTGAAAAAGTGACAAAGGCAAATGAAAGAAAAAGAAATTCATCCCTTATCCCACCATCTAGAAAGAGCCACTGTTACCATTTTGGCATATTTGTTTTAGTCTTCCCCACAAAGACAGAGGAGTATCGTTTTTAGAAAATTAGGATCACAATGTATACTTTGTTAAAATATTTTTTCCTCCCAAACATCATTCCCATCTTGTTAACTATTACATTGAAATAATTTTAAACACCTATTAGTAAAATATAGTCTGGCAATATAATAGTTTATTTAACCAATTTCCTAGTTTGGACATTTAGGCTACTTCTAATTTTCATTATAAACAATATGACAAATATACTATATATAAAACTTTTTCTGCCTGCGTTTTAAGACGATATTAAAGGCATTTTGTTTCAAGAACGTATTTATGTCTAAATTGCCTGTAGAGAAGACTATGGAGAGGTTATGTAAACAAGACAACAAAGAAAATAAGGATAACCACACGGTCAGACTCACAAATTTAAAAACCTAAAATGTCATTATTAGATCCTATCCTCATCATCTTTTATCAATGGAACTATATCATGCTGAAATTAGTAAAAATACCTAAGGTTATAGCTTGAGAATTTTGTTATATTGTAATAAAATTTGACCTGTACAGGGGACTGCCAGAGCCCTCTATTTTTTCTCCACCCTGTATCCCCAAATGCTGATGGAGATCTCAACAAAACATTCTGAATCTTCAGGAAGATGGAGGTGACTTGTTTTTAGTAATACTGAATTAATATGCTTAAGTAGTATTGATTACAACATACAATTATTAGTTTGGAATGAAATTAGATGCTGAAACTAAGTTTTGGATCTAGAGAAATTAAAAATACACCACCAACTGACTAAACAGCAAGACATAACATCTGAAAATGATGATTTAATATGCTTTCAGGGAAGGTGTCTATGGTGAAAATTTCTAGTATTGTGAACTAGAACTATGCTTTTTCTCTTTCTCCATCAACTCACAATCTATAACATTTTACAGCATTTATAGCAGTGGTTCTCACCCTGGCTGCATGTCAGAATCACCTAAGGAGTTTTTAAATTTTCAATACCTAACATATATGCATACCATACTATTATTTTTATTTATTTTGAAAAAGAGAGTGATATAAAGAGAGAAAGAGAGAGAGAGAGAGAGAGTATGCCAAGCAGGCTCCACAATGTTAGTACAGAGCCCTGATGCAGGGCTCAATCTTAATGAACCGTGAGATTGTGACCTGAGTGAAACCAAGAGTCAGAAGCTTAAGGGACTGAGCCATCAGGTGCCCCACATACCATACTATTAAATCAGAATCTACAATTTAAAAAGTTGTCCATATGACTGCAATGTATTGTCAAGGTCAGAACAATCTTCAGGTGAATTAAGTAATTCATTCTTTAGATGTAGGTGCAAAATGTTTGAAAGTAACTACAAACAACACAAGCACAAGAACAATCAGTTTTTTTCTATATAAAATTATCTTAACACTCTAGAAATTTAAACATTTTAGTCATTTAAAATTACCAATGCAAAGTTTTCTTACTTTTAAAATCCTATAGTCAAAATAGAGAAAACCAACTGACTTAAAGACAACTTAATTTCTACGTGCATAAATAAAATATGAAAAATGTATTTCTAATCTTAGGGCAATCTCTTGTTATAAAAGAATTTCTTTTAAGCTGTTTAAACACAAAGCTAACCTCAATGACAACAAAATGCTTTGAAATATTCAGCTGTTGGTTGTCAAATATAGTACTTTAACATTTTTTTTCTCTAGAAATGTAAATATACAGCCAAAAGAAAAAGGGTACGCATTTTTAACAAGTGTCATATCTGGACAACAGGAAATGAGAAACTTAACTTTCTTATTTAAGTAGTTTCTCTCCTCTGGTCCTCTAATGACACCCAATGGTGACTGCTAATGGATGCTTATGACCCACTTTTTGTATCTGGGATCCTGCTAGACCACTTCCTTTAAAAATCTCCAAAGTAATGCCTACTATTTTTTT